AAAAATTGATTATGATCATTGTTTAGAAAAATAGAGTACAACTGATAGTTGTCAGATTATAATTGCTTTTTAGACACAAAAATTCCATTATAATGAATACTTTTAGCGTATTTTTTACATGGTTTTTATTCAATACGCCATAGAATATTTGTGTCCTTTTTTAAAAACTAATAATTAATTGATTTACCTGTAATTCAGCAATGTTCATACATTATTCATTTCTCTACAAAGATACTACTTGTCATAATAAGAGATTTGTAACAGTTACTGTGAACCAGAGGTCCAAACAGGCCATTGAGCTGCCTATGACCGGCAGAGGCTTTGATTTTCGAGCCTGCCACAGACTAGGCAGGCCGCCTACCTCTCGTGTTTTTTCTAAATTTTCAATAAAAAACTTTATTTTTTGAGTAGAAAGTGCAGATATCAAATATAATTTAAAGAATCTTCGCTCTGGAAGATAAGAAATAATTTTTGTATTAGTTTGACTCAGTACGATCATGACTATTAATAAATTATGATTACATTGTTCGTAGTCCATTTATTTATTTAGTTTATTTATGCGTTTCAGTAGGTTACTGATTGCACTTATTAATCGGTTGTTATTAATGTTTTACATAAAGCGTTGACGAAGTCTTTATGTTCCTGATTCATATTTATATTGTCGTAATGCGTTCGAATATAATAAGTCCACTTCAACTAATTCATTAAATTAAGTAAAAAGATTTTTACTCAAAAATATTTTTTTTCTGAATGTTAAAAGCTTCCTTTTTGTCTTTACTCAACAGTTACATACCTCATTAAATCAATAGATCTTTCACTTAACCATATTATTTTGATATCAGCAACTTCCTTTTTTTATTTTAGAGACAGTTTTCTACTTTCACTCAATTATTATCCTAATATTAGTCTGCAACAAAAAATACACAGTCCTAAACAGGCAGACCTGGCCGACGAAAAGTGAGCTTGTTTGGACATCTGTTGTGAACGTCACGCTTCATATCTATTCTCTTCCTTTCTCTCAATATGATATATTATTTATACTGTTCACTGTCAAGGTGTTTTTTTTGTATCATTTTTCTCTTGTGTGATTGCATTGATATCGATACGACTAGAGTGATGCAACTGTTCATGAAACACTATTATCGAGAGTGATGATAGAGTCTTTCATTCATTCCGTCACAAGAATATTTTACATATTTCTTTAAACTACTTCCTTTCTATATTAAATACTTTCTTTCAAGGTCATATTTTTCTTACTATACAAAACATGTTGTGTCTACTACAGCCACATGTCATAATTCAACATGTTCTTATTTACGTTTTTAAAGTTAAACTACAGTCTACTTTAATAATCTAGATTTTCTAGGCAATATGATATTGATTGATAAATATTATCAAATCATACATTGTAGTTATGCTTTATGTCATTCTTTTCTTTAGACAAAGGTACCTTTCTTGTTATTGAATATTTCAACATAGAAAGAAAAAAAACGAAAATGATATCGCTAACACATGGCCTACAACGCTGATCAACCTGTATAGCACGTTTATGAATATGTTAATATATTTTGATTGTATTTAATTGAACAAAGTATAATGTTCATCAGATGCTTATTTATCTATTCATGTCATTGTATGAACCAAAATATGCCCAGAAGATTCAATTGACAAAACACCCAAATAGACCTTGTTCGTCAGCCACACAAGGTGCTAAGGCAAAGAAACTAAGTTTGTTTTTTCTTTGAATAATTCAATGTTGTAGTAATGACATACAAGAAAAAGAACTTTCATGAACAACAAACATTTGACCATGGAGAGAATATGACATCGTTTTATTTTTAGTAAATTTTCAGTTCTTTTCAACCAAAATTGTACTTCTTTATTAAGAAACACCTGGTTAGACAAAAAAAGAAAGTGTATCGCTTGTCATTTTTGAAAAATTGTCCACGTATCTTTTCAATCATCAAACATTCCCTTCTTCCCTTCTCTTTTTTCCCTTCATCATATCTCTAACACAATAGAAAATATCTCCCTACTAAATGCGTCATTATGACACATGTAGTAATCCATATCATGTCTTTAATTACTCATGTTTGATTATAAAAGGAAAGAAAAACGAATGCTTCTTTTCATGTATTAACCACATTGATTTCTTTACCGTTAATTGTTTACATATACTTCGTGAATAATGTTCAACAGTGGGTTGTTTTATATTATGGCAAATGCTATTACATTATTAGTTTTTAAACCTTTCGTTGGTGAAGATCTTTTAAAATTAACACAACATCATCGCTTTGCAATATTTCATCAAATACTTTCCTTCCGAAATAAAATTCTACCATTTGTGCATCCTATTTCAACAACAATAGATGCAGATTCAAAAGCACTGGTTGAGTTAATTGTACTATATCATCCATCACTTGATTTAAGTGATGATT